AAGGAATTTAAGGCCCCAGTGTGCAAACACTTGCATGCAATGCTTATTTTTAGACCTACGAAGTACTTCACATCCTGAAGTCAATAGAGCTATTTATGTGCAGAAAGCATTACATATCTTCCAGTCTTCAACAGCTCGGGGCCACGGGAAAGACAACATAACAGCCTGCCCAGGCTAAAGAAATTTCAAGTTTTCAGCATCAAAATCTCTTAAAACAACTGATGAAGGCAACAGTAGGCCATTCATAAAATTGGCCTGGGGAGGCACTGCAAAACAACTTCACCAGACTAGCAGAAATGATAGAAAATCTTGAGTGGCATCACTTTGCACACAGATGAGATTACACTTTAAGAGTGAAAACATTGGGTGTAATCACTTAAAACACATACAGGTTTACGCTTTTTCAGAAAAATGGAAAAATATTAAGGATGAAAGACAACACTAACGACAAGGCGCAATTAAACTCAGCATATGTATGATCAAATATTCTGAAAGATACAAACTCTTTTATAGGTTAGTAGATACAACTTCTATCAATCTATGCTGGTAAAGCTTTTACATAGTTGTTTCAGCAAAACCCCCCACAAGACAAGCAGAATATCCATGCTGAAATTGCTGCACCTCCTCCAAGATTTTTTGCAGTATAGAGAGGTCATTAAAAAAAAAAAATCCAATCTTAAATACTGTACCTGTAAAAAAGCCCCACTTGTCCACAACAAAACATTTTCCAGGGAAAATTCACAGCAAAATCATAAAACAATCTTTATAAATGCCATTTTTTCTTTTAACATTTTACATTAGCTTTACAACTGGAGTACAGGTCAATACAGAAATAATGTAGACTGTGTTTTCTCAGACTGAATACACACAAACGGCCCTGAGGTATGGGGCTCTATTGTGGGTAACTCAGTTCTGCAATTGCTGTGGTTAACTATGCCATTGCTCCCGACAACTCTGCTAAGGATGAAAGTCTAATTAAAAAGTCTCTTGACTTTAGAGTAAGAGGGAAGGGATCCTCATTTCTGATACGCCTTTACTGAAACTGCCCTGGGAGCGTGGGGAGAGGGAAACTAAAACAAAGGCTGTGTGAGTTCTCCTTGGAGGAGCAGCTTTGGAGAACTGTTTGAAGAGAAAGCACAAGGTCCTGTCACAGTTATCAAAGTATACACATACTTAAAGAGTGAAGAGAACTTGTATTTAAACATCTTAGAAGTATACGATAACAGAAGTACTGCAAGCATCTTAAATGAGGCATTTCCTGACGTCGTGGTGTAAAGTTTTCAGCTGGATAATAATAATGTAGAAAAGAAGTACTAGCCAAAAGGTACATATAAGGTAGTATAATAGCTTTAGCATAATACGCATCTGCTTGGTGCAAGATATTAGCAACCCTAATTACATTTTCGGAAAGAGCATGCTTTTGTACTCACCTGTGCAATAACAATGCTACTGAAAAGGGTAGTTTAAAGACAAGAACATACAATACCCACAAAGAATGGATTCCATGAATTTTATTTCATCTTGCATTTGCGTTCTTAAAGCAAAGCGTTCTGTACATATTATTCAGCTATTTACTGCCATTCTACACCCATTATTGGCCTAATTGCAGAAAGACAGATGCAGGGACAAACTTGTTAAAATGAACACATTGATAATGCTTCTCTGGCTGACAAATATTTATTTAAAAATAAGATACTGCTCATGGGTTTCTTTTATTGGCAGTTAACGGCTCAATTCACAGAACTGTGAGACATCATGGAACATGTAGCAAAACGAAATGCTGATAATACTTAAGGTCTCTTCACTAAACATTCTGCAGAGGAAGAACACTATGGTAACTGCTGAGCTACTGATTAATCAAACACCTAAATGGAAAGAATCTGGCAAGTGGTGAATGGTAACTTTTAGACACAAGATGATCCCATACTTATTTATGTAGGCAAAAAAAACCTTCAGTGTCACAGCCATTAAGAATTATTATCTGAAAATACCTGTACATGTGTTTTAATATATTGTGAGCCAGCTTTATAGCAGGTATCATAGTATGACTGCAAGTTAGGTATGGGGAAGAACTGATGGGGGGGAAAAAAAAAATCCAAGTACTCTGACTTGTTTAAGCGCCAACTAACATTGCAATGGCTTAAAAAAAAACCACCAATGCATTTTTGTCTTGTTTCTTAACACTAGTTTTAACTCTGCAAAATCACACCGCTGAAATATCTTTAAAACTACTTCTGTGAGATACGGAAAAACTGAAATTAAATGAATATTTTGAGTCAGAATGGGAATTTTACCACAACAAAAATATCTCAAACCACTACACTAAAATATTTTAATAAATCAGTTTGTTCTGCAGCCTCTAACAGATAAAGTTGGCTGTCAGTTGTGGCATCTATGAGAATATCTGCTGGAAAACAGACAAAGTATATTTATATCAAAATCAATTTGACTAGTCTTAATGTCTAATAGTTTCTCACTAACAGACTGATTTAAAACAAAAAGTTGTAAGATTTCCAAGTACACTAAATACTTCTTCCATTATGGTTGTTTACTAGGTTGGCTGCTTCACTGTATCTGTATGAATGGATGAATAAGGAGCTGAATGGACTAAAGAGGTTTTCTCTCAACATGTATCCATTATTTCCCTCTTATCTTTTTAAAACAGGAAATATTTTCAAGTACTTTTGGAGCTGCAGACTGATTTCTCGAGGAACTACTGCTACACAAATACTTCAAACAAGTGTTCTGTGTGCCACACTTGGAATTTCCGGCCCAAGATACGTCGATGCTGTAACCAAAGCACAACAATGGAATTTTAACAGAGAATGAATATACCTTTACAGTGTTGCAAACAGAGCTAGAGAACAACCAGAACTTAAAGATTCACTTTCACAATTCACATATTAAAAATTATTTTAAGGAATTTTTGATTGTGGTGTACAATACAAAGAGGTCTTTAGAATTCACTTGCCCTCAGTAGCACATTGCATTGAAAGAATGGGAACACGCCACATAAATTTGTTATTGTAAATAACGCTTACACACATGGGCACCTCTGCTAGCTGCAGAATTTCAGGCTCTCAGCCCTTTGTAATTATGTAGCCCTGAAATTCTTTGGCTATGGAATGTATTTAATTCAGTTTAGTTGTGCAAGAGATATTGAAGTGGCGAACTCACTTTATGCTACACCCCAAAACCTTCCAATAAAAAGTGTATACGTTGATTATAAATCCCAAGTTTGTTTAAAATTTAGTATCATTTCAAAAAGCAAAATCACACAATCATATCAAGTATTTAAACAGCAATAAATAGTTCTCCTGAAACTCAGAGAACACGTGCATTCAGCTATCATTAAAAACAATATCAGGTACTGACCTTTTACTCTACACTACGTTTATGGTGAAACAACGTTTCCAAACTGACAGTACTCACAGCGGACAGCATGAACATTTCTTTTAAGGAAACTGAATGCTATAATGCTGCTACTTCTTCTTTTCCTAGTAACGTTTTTCTGGAAAAATGGGTGAAGCTGAGAGAAAAAGAAAAGTAATAAAAACTCTTCTTAAAATTCATCACTATGTTTCACAGTCACATGAAGGAAGCTGAGCTCTTTTTATTCTAAGGAAATATCTTTGAAAGCATCTGGAAGTATTTTTCTCTGCAGTTGGGGAACAGAGGAAGGGAGAGATCCTTCTCTCGAAGAAAAAAAGACTGGAGAATCAAATCCTCTTCCCTCTGCAGTCAGGGTAAATATTGCCAGCTACTACAGGGCGGGGGGTGGGAGGGCTGTCAGGATTTTCTTAGTCCATGTGAACAACAGTTTCCTTCAGCCCTGTCATTTAAAATTAAAGTGGAATTTGTTTTATACTGCAGACCAATAAGTACCCTAGGAGCTTGATTGGTTGGTGCTTAATGAAATTGCTTCTGCTGACATCAGATACATTAGGATACTGATTAAAACACTTAATGATGCCTCTTGATTTTAAATTGCTAGCTTAGATTTGCGAGATGCCATCAAAGTATCTTTTTCCTTCCTTTTCCCCACCTTAATTCTGCTTCTCCTCGCCCTTTTTCTGTTCATGATCCTTAAAGGTTGTGGCTCATTGGCACCAGCACGATCATGAACCAAATGATAACACGACGTTGAACACTGCAATGTTTAAAATATGCCAAAACCCAGAATACAAACACTGAAAGACAGTCATCTTTAAAACACAATTTCCTGGTTCAAAGCTCAAACTATTTTTAAATGTGGAAACACTGAGGATTATTAATATAAAGGGAAATCCAAAGTCAGAATAAACTTCAAGTTTTTAAAGTATTTACTGAAAAAAGATAATCCTGTAAATGCAAAAACAAGTATAAAAGCTTTACTTTTAAGCTTGAATGCGGAAGACAGTGATACATGGCCAGACAACAGCATTCCTATGACAAGAAAGCCATTTTTCATGCTCTTATACAAAATTGCACACCCTATCACCTTCCAGTGGGAAACGTGTGTATCTTATGGGCAAAAAGACAGCTTATCCTCAAATATTGTTAAACACTAGAAATACCAGGTTTGGAAACTTTGCCTGAAAAGGGGGAAACACAGTAGCTGTAAAAATCTTATCAAGACACTCGAGACAAAATTATAGTTACAAAAAAAAAATTGCTTACATACTAAAACCTGCTGTGTCAGAAACTTTTATGAAAAAAAGTGAATACACTGAATTTTATGCTTAATACAAATTTTAGGACCTGAGCAAATAAAAAAGTAGGAGTTTTTGTACATTTTAGCACCATTATAAAGTTGGACTCAAATGCCGGTTCTGTCACTGTGGCTGTACCTTGCAGCTGGTGTAGCTAATGTGAAGCACATTGACTTCAGTGATCTCTGAGAGAAGAGTAACTGGATTTGCCGATCACAACACATAATATGTTTGCCTTTTTTTTTTTTTTTTGTCTTTTTAAATTAATTTTGAGCTTTACTTTTATCGGGCAGCCAGAGTGCATTTCTGTCAGCTAAGTCCAAGTCCGAGTCCTTTTGGTCTCTGGATGGCTCGTATTGGCTCTGTTATCCCTTTGCCGTCTGGTCCAAGGCCTGTGCCAGGGGTCCAGCCCATACTCTGAAGCATTCTGTTTCCAATGTTGCTTTCTGGGATTGGTTGGGTGTTTTCACCTACAAGCCCTGAGATTAAAGAAACACACAGCATTAATCAGCACTGCCTGCCATGTGGAGCAGAGCAGGATAATCTCCCTTAAAGCTTTAAACCTTCTTATTCTCCTAATTCATCTAATAGGTTGCTAGAACAGGCTGTCTTTGCACACGTTGACCTCCTGACTATGTATGATTCTAAATAATACAGTCTTACACTTTGCTTTATCTTTAACGTTTTTAAAGACTCACTCAGTTTTCAAGTACGACAAATATTGTCACCGATCTTTTATATTCCAATATAGTGGGCTTTCCACCACTCTCAAAGAACATGCATCACCTGCACAAGTTTACCAATACATAGGCAAGATTACCTGAATTTCTTGTCCTATACAGTTACTAAGCCGAGGTACATCACAGTATCACAACCATCTTTCCATTCTTAGCAATATTTATCAATGCTCAAGATCTCTTTCAACAAAACACAACGAATCATTTCTGATTAAACAATTACAGTTGCTACAGAAATAGTGGTCTAGGGGTCTAATATTCTGAAATTCAGCTATACCTCTACTTAGTTTCTCTTTTACTGAATGTTGTAAATTTTCTTTCGGTATTTTCAGTGCCATTAAGCGTTGTTTACACTTTTCTCTCCATACCACCAAGATCTCTGAGAAACGCTGCAAACATACTGCAGAAAAGATCACCAGGATTGCAAGTGTGAATAGAACAGATTCATTCCTTTAATAACAATTTTTTTTTCCCCATGAATGCACCATAAATAAAAAGTGAACGTCAAGTAACAAAGCTGATTTTTCCCTTGTCAACCAAACTCTTCAAGCTTGAGTTTGGAGATGATGCATGGATAAACTATCCCATATATAACTGTCTTGCATGAGGGATACAAATTATATTTATTTCAAGAATCTGCAGTAAAACTTATCAAGTTACACAATACAATCAATTTTTAAAAGGGCTGAAGGTTTGGAATTAATATGAGCAGTTGCATGTAGGTAGCTCGATTTTATTTTCAGCTTTGCTCAATGTCTCCCTTCCCCCTGACAACAGAACAAAAAAACCCCCACCACGTGCCAGCTTCAAATATTATCCATTTAACTTTTTACCTAATTATTCTGGTGTGCTACCTTCTGAAAAAAATCTGTAGAACGAGGCTATGGGTTTGTGTTTTGGATACTCTAATGTCTTCAATCAAGAATTTATGATTGACAAGCAGCTGGCTCATCATTCTATTAACTTACTAAGCAAGAACACAAGAAAAGTTGAACATGCACTTCTGAAAAGCCTCATTTAACACACACACATACAAAAAAAGCAAAGCCCCACAGTGGAAACTGCATACACAGACAGAAGTTCAAAATGAGAGGTGCACATTAAAAACCTCATCATGGTTGTGATGATGAATTTACAGTACTCCAGCACTACCTATAGATCTGTTCATATTCAGTAAAATGCTGGCTACATAAAAGCTAGACAGCTTTCTAGTATCTCAGCTCCTGAGTCAAAGAAAGAGGGAAATGCATTGAGAGAAGGCATCCTTTAATACTAGTTTGAAGCTATGCTTAATGCTGGCTTAAAACAAAGGCTTTTAAGTCAGCAGCCTCCAGTCCCCGAGAGGGCTCCTCTTGAACTGACCAGCACAAAATTCAATGTCCAAGACTTCCTTTCTTTTCAGGCCCCCACAGGCAGAGGCAATTTTCATAGAGATGAGTCCCTGACACTGCCTGGCATACACAACAGAGGCTTTGCAACCTGCTTAGCTATGCTTTCCAGCTCAAAAAAAAGGGGAAGAAAAAAGGCTATTGTTCAACAAAAGTTCTGGTAAACCTCTCGGGCAAAATCCTGGAAATGTGTTTTGGTCCACTTTTCACAAGTGATGGTAAGAAATGGAGCATTGCTCTAATGAACGTCTGTGGAACAATTAAGGGGGAAACTTGAAAGGGAAGAAAGATCCAACAGATCTGCCAAGCAGGAAAGATCCAGGGTGAGAGTATATTTCATGACATCTGAGAATTGGAAATATTGAACTATTCACAATGCTGCTTAGGCAAAGACAGCAATGCTGCCAGAATGGTATGTAAGGCATAGCCTGAGCCAACATAAACAGGTTTTTTTGTTAGTCCATTTGGGGGTAAACCCCACAGACCTTTTCCTGTAACAGATGTACCTTTCTACATGAATTTCAATTCTCAAAACAGCCAGAGCAAGTTCACAAAAAGGACATATGAAAGAACAATCTGTACCCTGACATGTTATTTAATAAACTGATGTTTTTATTTTCTCATACTTTTGGAAGTAGCCCAATGATTTTTTTTTTCTCTATGACTGACAGGATAGTTAGTATACTTTTTGTTTTAAAGACATGTAAGTATTTCTAGAATGTATACAATAATGGTTTGTCCCTCCACTGTACATACTTATCTATCTCCTGTTACCTCCTGTTCTATCTCTGAAACCTCTCCCACAGAGCTCTGTTTTATTCTTATACGTCACCAGATTAAAAAAAAATAAAAAAGAAAAAGAGCAGAAACCACCATAAACTTGGCTTCACAACCCACTTTTGGGCAAGCAATCAAACAACATACACTGTCCAAAGGATAATGTGCTTCGAGGCTTTGTATTGCAGCAAGAATAAGGCAAAACCAAAACCCACTCAGCTTGCCTATATTACTAATTGACTAATTAATCCTTCTTGTAAATGAGGTGAATATGGATAGCTTTTATTTTAATTGTGAGAAACATCTAATAGATGCAGGCCGCTACTTTGCAGAATAGTCAGTTTTTATTTAAATACTGTCTATGTCTATCTTTAATATTCCTGCAATTTTCACTCATCATTTGAAAAAATTATCTGTAATGCAACATATTTTATTTGAATCAGAAGAATATGGAGAGTGGTACTGCCCTCTTCCTCCAGTTCATGACCAAGCAGCAACTGGAAAAAAAAAATTTGCATTGCTGATTGACTGCATGACAGGAGAGAGCACTTAAAAATCATGCTACACTCTGTGCTATTCCCCTGACCGCCATTTCCTGTGCTTTGGGCATTTATTTTCTAATTAAAAGCAGTAATTGTCCTTGCAATATTCATCTTCAAGTTCAGTTGTTAATTCACACCTATGGCCCTTCTTGGACTAGCCAGTAGGGCTTGTTAGAGAGAATGGTCCAAGCACGCTGGCCTTGAAAATGGCTGTGCCAGCTCTGGGATGCATTCAGTCTCGACCCACCCAGCAGCAAGACCAAAATAAATCCATTATTAAAGTCATCCCACAAAAAATAGCTATGCCAAATCAAATTAAGAAAAAAAGGCAGGTTTTTCTAAATTTATTGCTGTATGAGGCTTTGTGGGGTTCCAGGAGTTATTTATGAGGAAGTTTCTGCACAAATAATTTGTAGGGATCTCCTGTGAAGAGTCTTTTCTTTCTACATTCTGAAAATGTTTTTAGTAACCATACAATTTGGTTCCTGATCTACCAGATGAGTAGTCTGTATGTAGAAGTGGCTGCCATTACATAAGTGAGGAGCAAACACCGAGGAACAGTAATTTGCTTGAAAAGAGAGCACTGTAGAATACCCTCACTTATGTTCCTTCTCTTTGCAATACTGCCAACTGAACTGAACAACAAAAAAAAAAAGGCCGGTCCTCAAACTTTTGCATATCTGAATAGACACAGTTCAAGGTCTGCACGTATGATGCATATGACTTTACATACACAGAATATGGAACCTCTGAGAAGAAAGAGGCAAAATTGGGAAGGGGGAAACAAAAAATTCATCACATTTGTTTAATTTTGATATGATATTTATGATGGCATTAAAGGCAGGTTTCAATGAAAAATAAAAGTATGTAATTTTTTCTTAACAGCTGTTGAGATAGGTATGTCCTGGTTAAATAGTACACTAGCATTCAGCGCCATACCCTTGATTTTACAGTGATTGCCATGAATTAATTTAATTCCATCTGTAAGCTAAAATCAGATCAGAGGTCTAATGCTGCTGCAGGCTCCACATCTGTTTAATCATTTTTGGATACAACAGCTTGCAAAAGTTCAGGTTTTAAATTTGCTTCATATTTTAAGAAACAATGTTTTTCAGGAAACAAATGAGCCTATGCACGGCTTTGATCTGACAGATCCATTTCATTTTCAGAAAGCTTCTAAAAAAATTAAAAGCTCACCAATGAAGTTATCATTTCTTACAGAATAATGAAGGAACTGTGACCCCATAAACCACTACTGTGACAATATTTACTTGTACGGTCAAATCGCTGGTTAAGACTAACATCAAGCATGTTTGGTTTATATTGGGGTGAATAAAATTACAATACAGCTAGGTTCAATCTCTTAAATAAGAAAAATATTTTAAGAAATTTTTTTTCTCCCTCCCCACCCCCGAGTTGTAAGAAACAAATGAAGGTATATTGAAGCAATTTCATCTCTGGCCACCGAACTATTTTTGATGTTAAGAAAACTGGTTTTAAACAGTTCTGAGAAAATGACACTGTACATAAATATAGTCTTGGCCTTTCATCTTTCTTTTATATGATTAAGACTTGTGAGCAGAACAGCAATGCCTTTGCAAAGCCTACCACAACTATTATTTCCTCTTCTATTGCTCCCAGCAGCCTTAAATCCTTTAAATCCTTTCCTAGAAAGATCTCTTTTTGCTTGGGTAATTTTTGCAATACATAGCCTGCTAACCCTTACCCCCTACCCTGGATCTCACTTATGTCTATCACAGCAGAGTCAGTCTTTCTACCTCAAATCTTCCAAGGAGCATTGTGGATTGTAATTCACTTGCATAATTGGCTCAAGAGATGAAAATCTTGTATCTGCCTCTCTTAGCCACTAATCTATCCAGCTGACTTCAAGCCTAATTGGCAGCTTGTTTAGTAATTTGGCTCCTAAAGTGTTGTATTGATGTTGGATAAACAGCCAATGGAAGGAGAAACGATACACGCTGCTTCACTCTAAAAGCTAGTGCACTTTCCCCCTCATTCTCTGAAAGCATTTAAT